TTGTCTGCGTGGCGTACAAACTCTTCGCTTCAGTTCTATTGCGGCGATTGACGCGCGGAGGCGCAGAGGAAAGGCTGACAAAACACAGTTCGGCTTCAGGACAGGGAGGAGCACTGAGGATGCTGTCTTCGCCGTCAGAAGACGCGTGAACGCAGAACTGGCGCACCAAGGTGGCAAGGTGGGCATGGTCGCGTTGGATTGAAAAAAAAGGCTTTTGATTCCATCAACGTCGGCGCGCTCATTGTCGCGCTCAGACGCTTCGGCCGCCGAAGATCCTGAGGATGATCCAGCACATCTACCGGTGTTGTCTACCCCGCGCGGGAGTCGGCCGAGCGAGCTCAGTTGTCCGGCATCTCACAAAAGTGCCACCTACCGCACTTCCTTTTTGTCATACTGATGACGGTGATCGTCGAAGATGCGACGAGGTCGCTGACTGCGGAGGCCCAGAAGAACTTGGACGACGGCTTGCTCGATCTTCTCCTTTCTGCAGATGACACTCTTCTCATTGGGGCCAACCATAGCCATTTGCAGGAGCTGTTGGACGCCACGGAAGGCGGGTGCCCAATACGGCATGTCCTCCACTGGTAGACATTTCAATTGATTCTGATGGCTGGAGTTACAGCTTGAACACGCCTTCAGGGAAACCAATCCGGGAAACCAATCCCGAGCGCGGAGGTGGTGCACTATCTTGGCGTCGTCATCAGACCAGATGGCATCGCCAAAGCAGACCTTCACCGCAGAATCGGGAGGGCCTGGGGCGACTTCTGCCAATTGAAACGGTTTTGGAAGCACGCGCAGCTGACGACTGCAAGGAAGCTTGAGGTGTTCGAGGCCATCGTCGTCAGCCGACTGCTCCACGTGCTGAATTCTGCATGGCTCAATGTTGCCGAGATCCGGAAGCCGAACGGCTTCCACCGCAGATGTCTGAGGGTAATCCAGCGCATTCAGCCTTTCTTCATATCACGCGTGTCCAGTGAGGTGGTTCTGGCCAGGGCTGGCAGGCAGCCAATTTCACAGAAACTGTTACGTCAGCAGTTGCTTACTTACGGCAGGGTGCTGGGAGCTCCCGAAACGACGTGCTGAAGTGTTGAACATTTTGCCCTGGGAATATTGCTCCAATCACGTGCAAGTGTGTGAGGCGTGTAGGGCGCCCTAGAAACAAATGGACCGGGCAAGTGCAGAAGCACGCTGCTAAGGTACCGACAAGGGTTCAGGATTGCAATGCTTGAGCGAGAGGCGTTGCCCAGTATTGTGCATGCTAGATCTGTCGACGCGCTTTTCGGCGTATGACTTGCGAGCAAGCGAGCGAGCAAAGACGACGGCTGAACATGCTGAGGCCCGGGTGCTACTTCTGTGTTGAAATGGTGGGTGGGAGTGAGCGAGGCAGCTTCCAGGCGGGGAGGGTGTCTTGACCCCTCCCCCTCCACCTGCCCCTGGGTCTGGACGGGGACTTTCGCGACGTGTCAGAGGGTCTTTGATGGCCTCGGCGAGGAAGCCAACACCATTGATTGTATTACGATGTTGGCCACATGTTGGCCTCCTGTGGAGATGGGGGGACGAATTTACAACGGCTTCTCCTTTGATCGATCTCATCCAAGATGGCCACAAGATGACCCCCGAGGCTCCCAAGGGTGCCCCAAGACGGCCCCAAGGGGTGCCCAGGAGGCCGCAAGAGGCCCACAAGAGGCCCCCAAGAGGCCCCCAAGATGCCACCAAGAGGCTCCCAAGAGACACCCACGACACCCCAAGAGGCCCCCCAGGAGCACCCAAGACGCCCCAACAGGCCCCAGAAGGACTCCAAGAAGCTCTCGGAAGAAATCCGAAGAGACGCCGAGAGGCACCCAAGAGGCTTCTGGTCTTTCTGCTCGCTCTTCTCTGCCTTTTCGTCATCCGCCTATTCCTCCTCCGTCGTCCTTCCTTCCCCCCCTTCCCTACTGCTGCTCCTCCTCCTTCTCCTCTTCCTGCTCCTCCTCCTCCTCCTCCTCCTCCTCCTGTTCCTCCGATTCCTCCTCCATTCCCCGCCTCTTTGGGTATGACGTTTAAGCCAACCCTTTGTTCCACTGCATGCTCCTCCACATCCCTGATCAGGGCAACTCGTCCGGGCATCGTTCCTGGATGGGCTCGTGGGCTTATGCGAAGCGTCTAGGACATCTCATTTGAGGCAAGCGGCGCGGACTGTTAGAACAGGTAGGCAGTAACAGGCACATCCTGTTGCATACCTGTATGTCCGCCGACACCCAATTGCCAGGGATGAACAGGCGTGTGAGGCAGTTGGCTGTCCCACTCCCCATTTCCCCCTCCCCCAATGTCCAAAATCGCGATTGAGGGGGGGGGCGGCGGGCCCCCCAACGCATCTCTGGGGCTGTCGGAGCCTGCAATCAACCCTCCCTGGCCACCAAGATACCGAGATATGTCCTAGGATGGTCCCAAAAACGCCCCAATACGCCGTAGAGGCCTCAACTCAAAAACGCCCAATATAGCCTCAAGACGGCCGAAAGCGCGGAAAGAAAGGCCCAAGATGGCCCCCCCAGCGGGCCTCAAGAGGGGGCAGCAACATGGACCAACCATGCGTTTTTGAATTATTTTCGCGTTCTCGGCTCTCTGGCGTCTGCACGCCCAATACTGCCCAAGAGGCAACCCAGACATGCCCAAGTCGGCCCAAGAGACCCTTCAAAACGGCCCGGAGACTGCCAAGGACGACCCCAAGACAGCCCAAGAGGCCCCCAAGACGGCAAACAAAAACTCAAATGTGGCCCCAGAGAGGCCCAGGAGGACGAACCCGAAGAGGCCCTGGGAGTGCTTCCCGAGAAGATGGCTCCCCCAACCCCCAACTGGCTCCGAAGGCCCCCCAAAAAGCTCCCAAAAGGCACCGGGAGCCTCGACAAAGCTCCAAGATGCCGCCACAGGATTGAATCAGCCTGGCGAAATACCCAACCATATGCAGTTGTGAGTACCGCAGTTGTGAATATCTTGTTCGGTGGCGCTCCCTATGGGGCCACCAAACGCTGTACTGGGTGGGTGAAACGCAGGGAACAACGGACGTGTTGGGTGGTGGCGGACGCATGCGGGCGGTGCCACTGGCACCTTCTGTAGAACTCCCTATGGGGCCACGAAACGCTGTACTGGGTGGGTGAAACGCAGGGAGCAAGGGCTGTGCTGGGTGGCGGCGGACGCATGCGGGCGGTGCCACTGGGACCTTCGGTGGAAACCCCGATGGGGCCACGAAACGCTGTACTCGGTGGGTGAAGCGCAGGGAGCAAGGGCTGTGTTGGGTAGTGGCGGACGCATGCGGGCAGTGCCACCGTGACTTCCGGTGGAGCTCCCTATGGGACCACAAAACGCTGTACTGGGTGGGTGAAGCGCAGGGAGCACGGGCTGTACTGGGTGGTGGCGGACGCATGCGGGCGGTGCCACTGGGACCGTCGGTGGAGCCCCCTTTATGGGGCCACGAAGCGCTGTACTGGGTGGGCGAAACGCAGGGAGCAAGGGCTGTGCTGGGTGGTGGCGGACGCATGCGGGCGGTGCCTCTGGGGCCTTCGGTGGACCTCCTTCAACTGGCCGTCGTTGTTACGAAGGATACGTGAGACACATGCGCGGAAGAGCGACTGTGCGGTGGCCACTCCGCCGACGCGCCTGCACCTTTGAAGACATCCCATGCGCGCGACGGCGTCCAAGAAACAGCCAGCAAGCGCCCAGGAAACTGTGACGAATATTCACGACGCCCACAAGGCCTCCGATGTCCAGGCAACAAGTGTCCACACCCATGATGGTAAGGCGGTATTGCGTGGCCTCCGCGCCTGTCCTCTCTTCCTCCAGGATGAGCAATGGAGGAAGAGAGGGGGAGGATGACGAGGAGGAGAAGGAGGAGAAGGAGTCCTCCTGCTCCTCCTCCTCCTCCTCCTCCTCCTCCTCCTCCTCCTCCTCTTCCTCCTTCTCCTCGCGCTGGGAAACCAAGTCTCCACCTGCGGGGCGGTCCTGGACGGAGCCAGCCCCAGCGCCGCTCTGGCGCGCTTCCGCTCGCGTGCTGCTCTAGCCTCACTTGTGGGAGGTGTTCAGAATTGAAGGGGCCCTGGGACACACAAATGAATACACACAAATAACAGGATTCCCCATATTTCTCCATATTTTCTGGGTTTCTGTCTTCCCCGCCGCTTCCCATATTTTACCATCTTTCCCTGGGGATCGTCGATTAATGGTGTCTGTGTGTGTTTTTCCATCCTGAAGAATGTTCCTGCGGGCGTAGGGGAACAAGCAACGACACAAACATGAGAACGCGGAGCTCGCCGCGGCTTTCTTCCATCGGCGCTGGGACCCTCTGGCGGCGCCTCCGGCGCCGCCACGCGCCAGGGAAGGGTGCCCAGCGAGGATCCAAGCAATCCGCGCAGACCTCCGAGTTCTTATCGGCTACTCGTAAAGAGTGACCCTGGGTAAGAGTGACCTTTGGTGCGCAGCTTTTTGAGGCCGCGGGGCGACCAAACACAAGCGCGCAAGACGCTACTATCGCATCGGGGGACCCCAATGGGCCCGCACAAAAGGTCACTCTGGCGAAGGGTCACTCTTACGTGTAGTCGATCTTATACTTTTGTCATTGTTTGTTCCTCCATGCTAAGAGCGTTCCGGCGCGCGCGATGGGCAAGAGCATGATTCATATCGTGTGAGCTTACTGTCTCGTCTGAAGATGTGGCCGTGTTCCGGTGGATGGCCAGCGGCACCGTCGCTGGCGCCCCTCCAATCGTGGGGTGCCCAGGCCGTCAATGAGGGGGGAACCCCAAGCTTTCTCCCACGACTGTCTGACTTTGGCCGCAATGGAGCTCCACCACCACCACCACCACCACCACCACCTCCTCCTCTTTTTCCTCCTCCCTCTCCTTCTCCTCCTCCTCCTCCTCCTCCTCCTCCGCCTCCACCTCCTCCTCCTCCTCCCCCACCTCCTCCTCCCCCTCCACCTCCTCCTCCTCCTCCACCTCCTCTTCGTGGTTCTTGCCACATCCTCTTCACTT